CTGTTAATAACCAAAGGCAGACAGTCCAGTCTGCCAGCTGCTCTTCAGGAGAATGATGGGGACCCCTTCCTATGCCCTTAACAGCTTCTGAAAACCCACTAGAGGGGCAGCTGTGAGTTGGTTCCAGCTCAATGATGATTGATTGGTTGGCTAATCAGAATATCAGATCACCTTTACTGAGCATAGCACATGTCAAATTTTGGGCTAACGGCTCCGTTTCTGTTACCTCACTGTATCCCCCAACAACCCAGAAATGTAAGTTATTGTTGTTTTTTTTTCTTATTTTATAGTAAGGCCAGGAAAGTGAGACTGAAAGGGAAGGGCCCTTGTCCAAGGTCATGGGCTCCTATCAGCCACAAGACTGACTCCAGGGGCCAATCTGCTCTCAGGGTACAAGCTTGTAACCACTGTGCTGAGAACTGAAACCTACGGGGAGGAGGGGTGAGACCTTGAGCAGATGCTGGGCCTTTGTAACCACCCCCTAGTTTTATGTATTTACTCTTTCATTTTTGTTTCCTCGCCTGTCCTCCTGTCTGTCTCTCTGGGGCGATTGCCAGTCAAAAAGGGCTTGTGGTTTCTGTTTCTGAATGCCCATGGGGTGGTCCCCCTTCTCTGTGCAAAGTCTGAGCAGAGAAAGAATCCCAGGAAACCGGAAAGAGGGTGGCACTTTCGTGAAGGAACGGAGACGGAGACAAAGGCCAGGGAGTGACTAGCCTAGGGGAGGCCTTTGAACACTTCACAAGTCCCCAGACCTTGTAGGTTCCCTCATTAGATCTCTATTCCCCCACCCTCCCCCATTGTCTTCTTATCTGCCTCCTGTCACCACCTCATTTGTTGCTGAGGAATGCTGGCCTCAGCCTGTTTCTGGGGTTCCCCACCCCCCATCCCACTGTGCTCCACAGTGAGCCATGGTAGCTTCCAGACCACGGTTTGAAAGTTTGAAAGACCAGAGGCCTAGCGTGTCCGATCCCAGATCCCACACCCCGCCTTGGCCGGCCCAGGCGTTGGTAGTTGGATGGAGGCCAGCAGTGGGTGCGCCCAGGACCTGCTGGTCCACATACCTCTCCCGCCCCGCCAGCAGTGAGTGAGACGCGGAGCACCTCTGCAGCCCCAGGATAAGCTCCCCCTCATCTCCTTTGCTCCCCTGTTTGGGAAGTGACATGATTCTAAGCAGCAGCAATTAGGAGTAGGCCCCAAGTGGGTACACACACATTGCCCAGCCTACTGTCCCCAGAAACCCATGGTGTTGTTCATTGTTGGTTAAGATTAGTCTTAATTGTTGTTGTTGTTGTTGTTATGTGCCGTCGAGTCGCTTGCAACTCATAGTGACCCTATGTACAACAGCCCTAAACCCTGCTCTATCCTGTGCCAATCACACTGCCTCTGACACACCCATCCCGATTACCCCAGTCACCGAATCAATCCACCTCATAGAGGGTCTTCCCCTCTTGCGCCTCCCCCTCCCCCCTCCCAAGCATGATGTCCCTCTCCAAGGACCTGTCCCTCCTTATGACATGTCCAAAGAGTATGTCAGATGAAGCCCCAGAATCCTTGATTAATCTTAATTCAGACATTGTCAATTAAATAGATGCTGTGTGTTCAAGGAGCTGGAAAAGTTTTTTCCTGTCTCAAGTTTTTTCTCACTGGCCTGTTTCTGCTCAAACTGTCATGGCCTTGGATTTATCTCTTTGGGCCATTGCCCTTCCTGTACTCTTTTTCAAAAAGGAAGAAATCTCTAGGCAGTTAAAACCCTTAAAGCTACTTTAGGTGGAGCAGGTATCAGAGACATTTTTTTCAGTAGAGGGTTGAGGCATCTTGTGGGCTGGGTACCAGCAGTGGGAAGACATTGTAGACGATAAAACGTTCAGAATATGAGGCGCTCCAAGATCAGAACTGGCATCTAGCAAGTGCTACCACCTGCCAAGCTCTGCTCTGGAGTAATATTTAATGTATTTGAAAAGGATGTATTTGCTGAGTGAATTAACTCAGTCTCATGAGGACAGATACTGCATATGACTATTATAAAACTAGAAGGGTAACTGAATGAAGCAGCTGGACTCTGTAAGGTGGGCTCTCTTGTTTTGGTTGAGGGTCGGTGTGGAATGTTTTGTTGTTTTTTTATTTAAGCCTTGTTTGTTTAACTTTTTTATTTAATTCTTGCTTAGAGTCAACAAGACCTCCTGGAGGGCCCTTGTATTTAAAAATTGGGCCTGAGGGATTATATTTTAATTATATTTTAATCCCTTGTTGTTATATTTTGGAGGAACATTCTTCTAAATTGTACAGCACTTTTGTCAGTTTGTTGTGCTGAGGTAATCTGGGTTTGCTGTAACACTGAACCTTGTGCTATTGGGGTCTCAAATGCCATAATGGAACAACTGTGCCCTAGGCATGTCAAGCACCATAATGGCAACCCATCATAGGCAACATTTGGTGGAGCTCCCAGATTGATTCAGGTTTGGAAGCAGGAATGGCATCCACTTCCTAAATCACATGCCTCTGGAAACTCTATGAACTTGGAAAAACAACGATAGTTATAGAAAGGCTTCAGGCCTTTTGTTCATAGGGTCACTGTGAGTCATACTAGATTGGCTGGCGATCAACAATAACAACAACAACTAGTAAAACATGTATGGGGATCCAAGGTGGGAAAGGGTAGGAGCAGTGGGGTGAAGGTGGGTAGGGGCAAAATCACAGAGTTGTACAATTTGGTGGGTGGAGGGAGGGGGAAAAGGAAATGGGAAAGAATCTGCAGGGACCTGAAAAGACAGGGTAATGGTGGGCATAGTCCAATGGTGATTAATTTTATAAAACATAATGCGTAGGAATTGTTGTATGAAATACAGTATGAATGAAGAATAGTTTGAAACACAGTGTGTACAAACTTTGTAAGCAAATCAATATAAAGTAAAAAGAATAATTGTTGAATGGGAATTTAAACTGCTGGGTTCACTAAAAAGACAACAGTAAAACACTTTCACAAGTCGTTCAGTGTTATCAGTTCACTTCTTCCAAGGTGTGGACTTTATCATTGTTTTCATTGTAGTTGTTCTGTTTTCGTTAGTCTAGTATCCCTACTCTCTTACATTCTCATCTTTTTTTTTTCTTTACCCTCTCATCTTTGTTTCACAGTGATGTTGACCATTTGGATTCATACAGGCGATGTTTGTTTGTTTTTATTAAAGGAGCACAGTACTTTTAAGGGACCTCTGGTGGCCTAGTGGTTAAGGAGTTGTGGTGCCAATCCAAAGGCAGGTAGTTCAAATCTAACAATTGCTCTGAGGGAGAAAGATGACCAATCTCTTCGTAGGTGCTCTACTGCTTCAGCTATGTTTGTTCTGATTGGACAGCAATGAGTTGAGTTGAGTGCCTGTAACCTCAAACTAAACCTTATTGGATCAATTCTACTCCTAGTGACCCTCAGCTGGGTACCAAGCTCATAAATCTTGACTGGAGAAGAGTGCCCAACTTTCTCCCTCTGTGTGACTGATGGATCTGAACCACAAAGATTATGGTTAGCAGCCCAAGACTTTTATTCACTACACTAGTAGGGCTCCTTGCAGTACTTCCGGGTGATGTTATGAATTCTTTTTTGAGCCAGTCTGTTATTTAGCTTCATGGTGACCTTGGGTTACTTTAGGTCAAGGTTTGAAGAGCAACTCACAGGCCAAATATCAGTGCATATCGTCTAATTACTCAGCTGGTCCAGTAAGTGTGTTCTGTTTTCATTTGTTTTTTCAGCAAGTTTTATCTTAAAGTGGGTGCTGTCTCTCCCTCCCTCCTCTTTTACAAGTAATAAAAATGAAGGCTAAAATGGCTAAGGTCTTAGAGTCAATCTAAACCCCAAAACTCCACTGCTTTCAACTCAGAGCAACCTTCTATCAGCTTTCCAAAGAGATAACTGTTTAGGAGATAAAACATCCCATCTACTTCAGGTGGTGGATTTGAACTTCTGGCCTTTTGGTTAGCAGTGTGCCACACTACACTCAGAGGTAATTGTGGAGGTAGTGTTTGTTCCCTTTCAGGCTAGTACAGTGTTTGGGGTCCCACGACCCCACTCAGGAGCAGCAATTCTCTAAGAGGATTCATGACCCAGAGCATGCGGTTGGTCTCACAGCTCTGTGAAAGGACACAGCCCACAAAGGGAAAGACACCTGAGAGAGGCGGGGGGCAACCAGGCAAACTCTTCCCCGAGTCCTCTCATGGTGGAATTACACAGCACACTCCACGGCCGTGACAGTGCATGTGACAAGTTGTCTACCGGGAAAGCTCCTTGAAGACTCTGTGCAGTGCTTGTTACTGGGGGCTGGTCACCCAGGTACCCTGTACTTGTTCTGCCCCAGAATTTCTGCCACCCAGCGGGAAAGCATGCACCATACTGTTTACATCAGTGACCTAAGGAAGAGAGCCACTCTTACTGTTCTGAGAATACCGGCAGTGCTCCCCACATCCACATTCCCAGACGCCAGCCAGCAGCCAACCTGGCAAGCCGGGCTTTTGGGGAAGATGTGTCCATTTCTTTCTGCCTAACGATCCTGTTGACTCTGAATGTGTTTTTTTAAAGGAGTCATTAACAAGCCCCCTTTTACCCGTCTTGTCCTTGGAAAAAGGACATCATTCTAGAAAAAAGAAAGAAAGGAAGAAGCTCAATGAGATAGACTGACAAACTGAACTGTACCAGTGGGCTTGAGCATATCAGAGATGGTCAGGATGGCACAGGATAGAGCAAGGTTCAGATCTGTGCTTCATAAGGTTCCTATGACTGAAGTCAACTTGATGATACCTCACAAAACAAATAAGGGTTTAGTCTCCAGTAAATCTTGCATAATGGTCTGGGATTAGATGAGAGACTATTTCAAAGGACTTAGTGGATGCCCACGCGATATCATCATTGTTCTCGTGTTCTACTTCCTGATCCTTTACGTCTTTGTTAGAGGTGGCAAGGGGCTCAAATGAACCCTTATATAATGAACTCCTTCTTTACCCTCTGTCATTCGCAGGTGGCCCTTACGAGATTCAGGTCAACATCTCCACCACTGGCAGTCTTCCCAATGGCACCCACTATTCAGCCAAGGGCACCCAAGTGGACTTCAGCTGCAGCAGTAGCTCCTCACCCCCGTCCATGGTTGAGTGGTGGTTCCAGGCTCCAGGATCTCGCAAGGAGCCCTTTGGAAACAACCTGACAGCCAGCTGCTTCACGCTGTTGCAGATGTCCCAGAACCTCCAAGGGAACTACACCTGTTTGGCCAAGAACACGCTCAGCGGGAGACATCAGGAGGCCACCACGGAGCTCCTGGTCTACTGTACGTAAGACGCAAACCCTCTTCCCCTTATCAGCTGTGCCTCTTCTTCCAAGGTCTATACAGACGTACATGCTGCTGGATGGTGCAGAATGTAAATGTGGCAACACATACACGTATACACGCGAATGTCAGAGACACCAGGCAGCAAAGCATCACCTCACTGCTAATTCGGGATAACTGAGCCACAGAAGAGAGTGAACACTGAGCCTTATACATCTTGTTCCCTGGTATTCAGAGAATGGTGCATTTGTTACGTGTACTTTAAGTCTCACACGCTTTTCAGAACCAGAAGTTCATGAGACTTTATTATAGGGCAGGGAAAGAACAAGTCATGCTCTTGTGCACAAATACCTTGGAGAATAACCACCGTAGAAATGCGTGGGGACTAATAGTGGATCAGCGCTAATGAAAGGAAACATCAGGGCCGCAAATAAGTGGGCAGGGTAATGACAGAGTATGCACTCTCTCTGTCTCTGGAGCCTTTAATGGACTCTGTGTTGTTCTCTGTCATAATACTATTTGATGCACATCAAGCCTTATGTGGTTGTTACCGGAAATACAGATGACTGTAAAGGAGAAACTACTTGCTTGTAATTTAGCCATCATTTTAGTCATCCCTGAGGGAATAACAAATGGTTACCATGCTCAGCTCCTGTCTGTAAGGTTGATGGTTCAAGTTTGTTCAGAGCCACCTCTGAAAGGTGTGGAGATCCATGAAAAAAAAACTGGCCTCTGACACCTATGGAGCATAGTTCTATTTTCATACCCACCAAGTAGTCATGAGGTGGTGCTGACTCCACACTAGCTGTTTTTCTATCATTTTCATGTATTTCCATTAATTTTTTCCTGTAGCTGCTACATGCCCATTCACCCATATAGGAATCTAATTTATTTTGATGTGTTCTACATAAAATGTATCTTGTCTATATATGTGTATATCTCCCTATAATATACATAGATAGGTAGGTAGATACATACATACATACAATATAGATATTTCCATATATATTATTGTTACCATGGTGTCAGAACTGACTCATAGCTGACCCTCCAGTGAGTTTCCAGAGGCAGCAAATCACATAGGAGGAGGCTGTCCATCTTTCTCCCACAGAGAAGCTTTGAACACACTTTGGGGTTGGCAGCGCCGCTCCATATTACAGCTTCGTGCACACACATGTGGAAGCAGGAGTGGCATCTACTTCCTAAACAACTTGCCTCTGGAAACTCTATGAACTTTGATAAATGTCGATAGTTATAGAGGAGCTTCAGGCCTTTTTTTGACAGGGTTGCTATGAGTCATGTTCAACTTGAAGGCAATCAACAACAACATATATATATACAGACACACACATATATTTAGATACACACACACACACACACACATATTTATATATGTATGCATGTTTATTGCCTCTGAAAACTCATTGGAATTGGAAGAATCTGTTTTGGGAAACAATGTATTTGAATTTTGTAAATAAACTAGTATAATAATTAAAAACCAAACCAAACCCACTGGAAGGTCAGTTATGAGTCAGTTTCAATCAACTGTACAACAGCAGCCCATAAAAAAAACACAGTCATGGCGAGCTCTGGTGGCCTAATGGCAAGAAGCTGCACTGCAATCCCAGAGGCATGTGGTTCAAATCCACCAGATGCTCTGCTGAAGAAGGAGGGACAATCTCCTCCTGTACCAGTCAGATCCAATTTGATGGAACACACAAAAATAATAATAAGAATAAGAATAATTTCTTAAAAAAACCCAAAAAACTACACATTAAAAACAAAACAAAACAAACCACAGTAATTGAGTCAGTTCTGATGCATAGCAACCGTCCATTGGATTTCTGAGGCTGTAAATATTTAAGGAAGGAAGCCACCTATCTTTGTCCTATAGAGGGGCTGTGGGATCCAAACCACTGAGGTTTTGGTTAGGAACCCAACTGGTAATGCCCTGTACCACCAGAGGGCCTTTAAAAATACACACATATGTGTGTGTGCTTACATCCATCCATATATATATATTTGTGTTTAAGGCCCTGTTGGTGCAGTGCTTAAAGGTTTGACTGCTGTGGCAAGAAGCTGCACTGCAATCCCAGACGTATGCGGTTCGAATCCACCAGATGCTCTGCTGTAGAAGGAGGGGCAATCTCCTCCTGTACCAGTCAGATCTGATTTGATGGTACACATACAGAAACAAAAGCTTGACTGCTAATTAACATACTGATGCTTCAAACTCACCAGCAGCTTTGTAAGAGAAACTTGGGGTTCTGCTGAGAATTGCAGCCAAGGAAGCCCTATGGGAAGATTCTAGTCTTTCACATGGGCTCATGGTGAGTTGAAAATAGATTCTGCAGCACTTAACAACAACGACAACAACAACACACACACACACACACACACTGAGTATTTTAGTGATATTTTGAGATGTGGAAGAAGGAGGATGAAAGGAGTCTAACGAGAGGGAAATATATTAAAAAAAAAAAAAGCAGTGGAGCTCGGTGGCCTAGTGGCAAGACGCTGCAATGCAATCTCCCCCCAAAAAAAACAAGCAAGAATTTTAATTTTCCAAGACAGATACAGTCTGAGTGTATCTTCTTTTTTTTTAGTTTATCTTAACATATGTAGTGATGATGATTATAGATGCAGAGGAAGGGTGAATTTAGGAGCTGAGTTCAAAATATGGGAAGAAATTGAATGTAATAGCTGCAAGGTTGTGATAAGCCTCAATCAGAAGGAATAAAACTTCTGAGAGGCAAGTTTGAGGACATTCACAAATCCTAAAGATGAATAGAAATGAAGTGGAAGCTTCACGGGTCTGAAAGATGAGTAAAAAAGTGAAGTAGGGGCGAGCTCTGGTGATCTAGTGACAAGAAGCTGCACTGCAATCCCAGAGGTGAGCAGTTCGAATCCACCAGATACTCTACTGGAGAAGAAGGGACAATCTCCTCCTGTACCAGTCAGATCCGATTTGATGGTACACACACACACACACACACACACACAGAGAAAACAATTTTTTTTTTAAAGTGAAGTAGGAATAGAAATGACTTCTTGGAGGCATTTCAAGCTACACTAAGCAGGGTTGGTGCTTCTCTGTTTCTATACGAGCTCGTTGGCTGATCTTAGCATCTGAGAGCAAGCTCACCCTTCCCTGGTGTTTTGCAGATCCCCCTCCATCAGCCCCTCAGTGCTGGGCAGAGATGTCACCAGGACTGGCTACGCTGCAGCTCACCTGTCACTGGGAGGGTGGCTACCCAGCCCCAAACTTCTTGTGGACAGAAGAGCCAGGAGGTGCGGTCGTGGGGAAGTCCAACCTGGGAGTGGAGATACTGAACCAGTCTCAGCTGTCGGATGGCAAGAAGTTCAAATGTGTGGCGAGCCACATCTTGGGACCAGAGTCTGGAGCCAGCTGCGTGGTACAGATCAGTGAGTTGGACATGCCTCCTTTTCTTCTTGGGGAAATCATTTGAAAGATGGTCTAGAAAGAAACTCAGGAGTCAGAGATAATAGAATACCATCTCTCTCTTTTTTGCTTTAAGGAACCCCAAACTCATTGCCTTTGAGTCAAAACTGACTCATACCTGACCCTCTGGTGAGTTTTCTGAGGTTATAAATTACAAGAGAGGAGATAGCACATCTTTCTCCCTCAGTGGCCCTGGTGGATTTGAGCCGTTAAAGGTGCAGCCTTTGGTTACCTAATTCCTATACCATAAGGTTAAGTGGCATTTAAGATTGTCACTGTTGAGCAAGCATCAACACTACCTAGTTCTAGAACATTCCCATCACTCCCAAAAGAAACCCCATTCCTATTAAAATCACTTAATTCCCTCCTGCCAGTTCCTGGAAAGCTCTTACTTCTTTCTGTCTCCATAGATTTGCCTTTTGGGGCAAATATGTTTCATATAAATAGAATCAGCTGATGTGACTTGTTACCTGTTTGCATGTGAGACAATATATACAAAAGCTTTTTTTTT